CGGAACTTGGCAAATTTATCATTCTCTCTCACCGCTCCTGATATCAACTTTCCAAATGCTCAAAATCCCGCACCTCTACAGAACACCCCACAACCACAGATGCAACCCACTCATGCTCAACACTGCAACACATGCCATACTCCAAACAACACTCCACTACTCATTCCTGAACCACTGAACACCACAAACGACCACCTCCACAACACTCCCATCTACGTAGATACTGTACCCCACTACACTCAACCAATCTCAAGTGCACCTGAGTCTCATGACAAGGACTCTCTTATTAGAAACTTGGCAGTAGAACTCAAGAAGTTGACCAGCCGAGTTCAGGGCATGGAAGGAAACAAAGGTATAAAGGGGTTGAATTATGAGGACCTCTACATTCAGCCAGATGTTGAACTTCCGGAGGGGTACAAACCTCCCAAGTTCGAAATGTTCGATGACACAGGAGATCCCAGAGTCCATTAGAGGACATATTGTGATAAGCTGGTCGGAGTCAGAAGGAATGAGAAAATCCGTATGAAACTCTTCATGAGAAGTCTGAAAGGGGATGCTTTATCCTGGTACATCAGTCAGGACCCCAAGTAATGGACAAGTTGGGTAGGTATGGCATCGGATTTCATGGATAGGTTCCGGTTCAATACAGAGAATGCACCGGATGTATTCTACATCCAGAATTTGAAGAAGAAGCCTACCGAGACATTCCGCGAGTATGCTACTCGTTGGAGATCAGAGGCTGCTAAGGTCAGACCGACCTTAGAAGAGGAACAAATGAACAGATTCTTCGTCCGGGCTCAGGATCCACAATATTATGAGAAGTTGATGCTGATCGAGGGCCAAAAATTCTCCGATATCATCAAGCTGGGAGAAAGAATAGAGGAAGGCATTAAGAATGGTATGATTACTAATCTTGAAGCATTGCAGGCCACCAACAAGGCTTTACAGTCTGGTGGCACGTCCAAGAAGAAGGATGTGAGTACTGTGATGGTCACACAGGGAGCCAAATCACCACTAAAATACCACACTTACCCGTCACCTCCACTT